AATTTATGTGATTAAATAAAATTTATGATAAAATTTCCAAAATTTTGAAATATGTGGCCCCTGGGTCAGTGGTTCCTGTGGGATGGGGTGCACAACTGGTTATAGAGCGGAAATGCATTTTCTCTTTATTACTTTCTGGGTATTGAGTAACAAAGTAAGCATGCTAAGTGTATAGTTATGATAAGCAATCATGGTGCCTCTTTCCAAATTGTGAATTTCATGGCCTTTGGTTTAAAACACAAATTAAATTCAATGTTTGAAAGTTGTAAAATGATACTCAGGTGACCTACAAGGCCCGTGGGCCTCTTGTTAGTGTCCTTACCGACTGGTTAATACAGCAACTGAAGTTTATCTGCTCCCACTGTAATCGATAATATATGGAACAACACAAAACTTGAATTAGTTTACTCATACAATCAACGTGATCTCAAAGACTCAACTTAACGAAATACAGATCACATGCAGCATGTTGAGCATGTTTATATAATAACATGCATTATGATTATAATTGGCAAGATCAAAGTTTATCAAACAATAACAGTCCTAGGTGGATTCACTTCACTAGAAATACATCTTTGATCATATACGGCGTCCGAAGCATTACATGACTTTTTGCATAAAATGTAACCCCAAGGGGAAAATCGAGAGTGGTTAAGTAAGATTTAAGTCACATGGGAAGGGATCTGAATACAAAAAAGTTATAAAACATCTACATGTTTATATTAGTGTCAAGGATGAGCATATTAAGTAACTTGGAAATAGACATGCCTCAAAAAGGACTACCTAGAATATGAGAGTCATTAGCAGACTCTCAAAGTTTTGGGATGTTTTAATAAAGTGTGGCCCTGCTACTCTTGTAATACTACATTATGTATCTGGAATATGAAAGGCAAAAGTAGAAAACCGAATGTTGGATTTTCGTCATGTGAGGTCCTGCTACTCAAGAAAATAATTTAAGGTTCCTCCACGCTCTTTGAAGAGACTTTCTATGGGGGAAATAACAATTATATACCTTATGAAATTGTCCCTGGCAGTCAAGATGCCAAAATGTCGAACTTGCAATCCCACGTCTGCATCCAGTATTCTTATGACCCTCTTCTTAAAAATCAAAATAAGCAAATTCAAAGACCACATGGTTACCCCGCTTTCAGTATATCTGTGGGCGATATGTCATTTTTTGGACATATTGTGTCCAATTGAACACCCTATCATATGTCATTGAAAAATTACCACCAAATTTGACTTAAATAAGGTCAGTCGTGTAAGACAAGGTCAAGGGGTCAGAAATCAGAGCATACTAGGAAATATTCTGTCACAGGCAATATCCATGTCAAATATGAAAGCCCTATCTATTCTTAATCAGAAGTTATGATGAAAAATAATATTTTTGAAAAGTAGGTCAAACTTCAAGGTCAAGGTCAAATGATCAAACATCAGTGTGTATCTGGAAAGGTCTTGTAACAGGTAATTAATACGCGGTTTTAATATGAAAGCCTTACATGTATTCCTTCTCATTCACAATAGGAGTATTTTACCCTATCTTTGGACTTTAGTAGGGCGTGACTTTCTCGGCGCTACGTAATGGCGAATACTAGTAGATTCTCATTGGTTACGAAATTAACAACATAGGAACTTAAAATTGTTGTTGATAACGATCGACGACTTATGCCCCACCTCTGTGGTCAACTTTTAATTGGCTATTTACTACACCAGTTGACATTCGGCCGCATTTCTATCATATGTATATTTCAACAGTGAGGGAAAGCCGTGTAAATTTCAGAAGCTAATTAGGTAACGTCGAGAATGCCACGCCTTCAGAGCTGCCAACATTCTGAAATGAAAATATAAGGCGTGGTCTGGGGACCGCCTAGGCCCCCTACCACTGAAGATCGTTTGTTAATAGACATGGAATCTGAGCAATTTAGGCCACGTTTCCATTTTGTTTACTTTAAAACATTCACGTGAATGCGATCGGTCATCTGAAATTGAAACGACGATACAAACAAGCGTTGGGATCAATCAAGGGATTATGAATATTAAATTATAATATTAGAAACTGTAGACAGCCATTAATGAAAATTCCGGTATATAAACTTTAATCAAGAAAACCCTAAATCGGAAAATTTGAAGAGAGATCGTAAGGCGTATTTTGGACGCTAATTTCGGTAGAAAACTACGCCAAAATCGTAAGGGTTGGCACCTCTGCGCCTTACTGAAAGTCCAAACTAAGCGTGTAATTCTTCTATATGACCAAGGTTTAAGTTTTTTAAAAGTAAGTCAAACTTCAAAGTCAAGGTCACGAGAAATGTTTTATTTTTTAAAATAGGTCACAGGGTTAAAAATCATAGTGTATTTAGAAAGGTCTTGTCAAGGGTAATATACATGTATATGAAAGTCCTAACTCTTCTCATTCAAAAGATATGACCAAGGCTAGAGCTTTTGTGACAGACGACAGCCCATAAGGTTTAATGTCCTCTCGCTTTGGCGAAAATGGGGACAAAAATCCAAACGTTAAACGAACTGTTACGTAGTCAGTCGGTAGAGCGCTCACTCCGTGTTCAGGACGTCGTTTATTCGAATTACGACTGCGACTGAAGCCGAAAATAATTAGGTATATAGGACCTACTTTTTCTCCAAACGCTCGGCATTTTGAAGTGAAATTGTGGGTCATCCGGATGAGATTTAAAAAACCCAAGGTCCACTGTCATGGCAGTCAATGGTACGATACAGAACATTAATAATGCTCAGTGGCCCTGAGTGCCGAGTAAAGGTCTAAATTTGAAGCTCTGTACTTATTTGTAGTAACATCTCTGTAATAGTGAAAAATTCTCGAACGGGACATAAAACAATATACAATCAAGCATACATTAAATAAAGATCCAGCATTGCATGTATACGGTAAACTGCATCGATCTAGTCAGTACTTTGTAAATTGCATCACATTTTTCTTCTATCTAGCAGAAAAACGTGGATGCAAGGATACATACATGTAAATATATTATGTAAATGCACAACATGTGATTTCAATTTATATTATGAATTCCACATTCAAGATGTTTACATATTGAATGCGTTTGAGGGTAAGATTTTTAAGAAAAATTGACAAGCTTTGTACAGAATTTTGTGCCTACGGTTTATTATTATATTGCATATTTGTATGAAACATTCGCATTCAGCAGTCTCGTTTAAAGTCATAATTTTGTACGTTGTATGGTCGATACAATGTTCTTATCAGCCAAAAACAATTCTGTAAGTCAAATGCTGACAAATGTTTTTAATACAAATTGTTAGGCCATATTTAAACACTAAAATGTTGACGGATTTTTACGTTATTTCCCGATCTTGACAAGGAGCACAGGGCGAGGTTTGACAGGTCCTCAAGGGGATGCTCACTACTCCATGGCACCTGATCTTACCTCTTACCTCATGTTTTGGAAGTCAATGTTTGCTCTGTTCTAATTTTGAATTAAAATATGGACTTTTGAGCTTGAATACTGTTGCTTATCTTCGTATATTTCATCGGTACTATGTAATAAATATTGTACATAGTTGAGGGTCTATTGAAAATTTAAACATTGTCAGCTTTCCTTATGAAAAAGTACATGCATACTTCAAGGCATAATTTTATCTTCCAGAAATAAAAGGAATTAAAGTTTGTTTGAAACAAATTAATGTTTCTCGACAAATCAAATTCAACTTAATTAGATGAAAATATTTTATATAATATTTCATTATGCTTATGCCTATCAAGACAAATCGGGGCGAAGTGTGCGTGCACGATATACCTCCTAGAAGATACAATGCCCTAATCTTTTAAAAAGCGGGGGTTAAAGAAAAATGTGTGGTTACTCTCTCTTCCAATCACAAAGTAAGAAAAAACAAGAGGCTCATAGGCCACAGCGCTCACCTGAATAACTGTTTTAGTCCTGTTTCGCGTCATCATCAGGTATTCCCAATATGTATATTATTATACCCCCCGCTTGAAAAGTGGGAGGGTATACTGTAATCGGGATGTCCGTCCGTACGTCCGTCCGTCTGTTACGCTTTTGGGTACCCATCTCTTACCCGCAACTTCTTTCATACCATTGAATGAAATTTGTTGAAACTTTCACAGGATCTTTATTACATATTGCCAATGTACACCTCCTATTTTACTTTTTGATCGGACACATATTTTGGGTTTCCCATAGCAAAACATGGACACTGCCATTTATACACATATGGGAGGCGGGGGGGGGGGTATCATTTATGATTTAGTGAGCCCATGCTCACAGTACCTCTAGTTGCAGTATAGAATCAAAGTAATCGCGCTTTCTGTCTTTATCATTAATCCACGGTTAAAGCTTCGAACACAATTACGATATCATAATTGAGACCCTACTTACTCAAACCATTTTGAAAACACAATCACTGGTTAAAGTAAATACAGGGGCGTAGCAACAGGGAGGGGGGGGGGTGCCCCCCCCCCTCTTTTCCCCAGCCTTACTTATACTATAGTAAATGTTAATTGAATGCCTTGTTGCCCCCCCCCCCCACTTTTGTGATGTACCGAAAATGTATTAATAGAGTTGGTAATGAAAGTTGTTAACACTGAGAAATAGTTAACCTCTACTCTAGTTAAGCTCTAAATATTGCATATAGTTGAGGGTGAATTGAAAATTTAACATTCATTTGTCAGTTTTCCTTATGAAAAAAGTACATGCATACTTCATGGCATAATTTTATCATCCAGAAATAAAAGGAATTAAAGTTAGTTTGAAACAAATTAATGTTTCTCAATAAATCAAATTCAACTTAATTACACTGCCATTTATACACATATGGGAGGCAGGGGGTATCATTTAGTGAGCCCATTGCTCACAGTACCTCTAGTTTTTTTTAATATATAAAAATAATTACATATATTGTTACAAAGTCTCATTGAGTTCAAAATAATGAGGCTTGAACATAACTGCATTTGAAACGTTAATAAGATATATCTGAGGTTTCGAGATATTGAGGTTATAGTAGATTTTAGATAATCATATTCATGGAATTTGAGATCTTCTTGAGAAGAAAAGGTCAGCTGTATATGCATTTAATTTTTTTTCACAAATGCCCTTGTGATAATCATGATTCAAAGGAAAAAAATCTTTTCCCCCTTTTATTTCTTTTCCCCACCAATATATTGTATCACTATGGTATCATGCATCTGAAGATATTTGCGTGTAGAAGTTGTTTTAAATATTTATTCAGCTTTTATGACACACAGATTCAAGATTCACTCTGCCATGTATCTAATGACCTTGACCATACCAGAGCTCCCCTCTCCCACCCAAAGGTCATCCTTAGCAGAGACACTGAGACTGAATGGCTCCTTTAGACCAAAACTGTCAATAATCTTCACAAAGTGTCCATCTTGATCAATGATATGAATACAGTTATTAGATCTGTCCGCAATCAGAATTTGACTCTTGCTATCCGAGGCAAGATCCATGGGTTTAAATGTGTTTTTCATGGCACTGTTTCCACTGTAAGTGAATCGTAAGTTCCCAGTTTTGTCCGTCACTACGACCTTTTGCAGGGTGACCTCTGTGACACAAATGTCAAGGTTTCTGTTTTCAACCAGGAAATAGGGCAAGCGAAACAAGATGTTGCCATCTGAATCCTGCTGAATTTCAGATAAAAGTTTGGTGCCAGAGTATCGGACAACTTTTCCTTCAGTTTTACTGGAGTTTGTCATGCCGATAAGCAATTGATTGCACACTGTGCTGCACACAGATCTTAGCTTCCAGTCTTGGACTCTGAAGAGACAAACACATTCACCATCTTTGATGGTATTTACGCTGTTATCTTCAAGATAAATCAGGTCACGCTGGCTGGTTATTGTCATACATACGGGAACTTGTCTGGAGATAACCCTCTGAATCACTGAACCTTGAAGGTCAACAAATTTTAGCAGACGGTCATAAAATCCACACATCCATACAGTCTTTTCACCATGGCACCTTAGTCTTCGAACCCCTTTTCGGTATTTGCTATGAAAAGATGCCAGTAGAGTTGGATTCTTATGAATCTTGATTGTGTATCCAGGGATATTAATTGTTTTGGAATTTCCTAACTTGCCAATAAGTTCATCAAGTTGATTCAACAGTGTGGTGTGTTGTTCGAAATGTCCAGGATTAATTTCAGCCAGAGGGGGGATTTTTCGAAAATTTTCAACAGAGGATCTGTAGGCAAAAAGTCTGTTAAAGTCCAGGGAATTTATGATCTGCCTGTTCTCTTCTATGGTTCCTCTGATGTCTGCCAAAGGAACCGACAGAGAGGCATGGCATTGATTTAAGGTTTCCAGATCCTTCTCTTTCATCTTCTGAATGTCTTCTTTGTGGTGCACTATTGCAGATTCTAGTTGCTTGTGCCATTCAATACCTATCTGGCACATGGTATTGGCAGTTTCTTCGTATTTCTTTGTTGATTCCTCAATTCTTCTGATCATTTGGGACACATTCTTCTCATATTCTGGGATCATATTTTCTTCCATGTAAGCAGTGTCTTTCAGTATTTTCTCTTTCAGCAATGCATAGGTACCACAGATTCCGGTGATGTCGTGATTTTTATGCTTTCCCTCAGACAGACACTGAGAACAGAATGGAGAATTGCATTCCTTACAGAAAATCTCACACTTATTATCCAAGTGGAACTTGCAAACAGGTCTCATGAAATCTTTGTTTGATTTGTACCTGGCAATGTCATGGAGACAAGAGGTGGATGAAGTCTCAATGTGTTTACTGACACAAGAACTACATAACCGCAGGGCACAGGTCTTACAGAACATTTCGGCAACTACGTCTTCTTCACAGCAAAAATCACATCGAAGAATGTCTTGAGCGGCAACAACAGTTGTCGAAAAATCCAGATCCTTGGCGGCCACTGCAACAACATTTTCAGATGGTTCAAGCAACTCAGGTGGCTCAAGCAATTCAGCAATATCATTGCACTCAGGAACCTCTAGTGATTCATCACTTTCACCTGCCTCAGCAATCATTTTTGTATGTGTCTCACATTCTAAACTAGGGTTGGAATTAATGGATGTTTGGTGTATACTGTGAGCATTTCCCATAATTTAATCTTCCTGCATGAATTTCCTATTACCCCTGTTCAAATTTTTCCTGGTATGATCGGATTTGAACAAATGACTTTTTTCCTGTACATCTGTTTAAGACTATTGACTCTCAAGTGTCTATACATGCGTAATGCATATTCAATACCTTGATTTTTTTCTAGAGTTATTTATGTGATGCTTATTCTGAAACTTCTATCCAAAAAAATTGTTCATTATTAAAAGCTATATATGGCATATCTGAGCTAAAAAAAAAAAATTATGTAAGGTGTGAGCATGATGATATTGAGTGTTGATATAATTTCACCTGTTTTGAACTTGAAGAACCTTGTTTCTATACTATAATTAAACTAATTGTTTTAAATTACTCAGTATGTAATTTAAAGAAAAGTCCTATCATTATATAAAGTAATGAAACAAATAAGAAAGATCTCTTTAAATTTTGGTTTTCTGAACTTATAAAAAATATGACATACACATATATGACTTTGAAGAAAATATTTCGAAAATCGGATGCATATGATTCGCATTTGATTTTAGTTTATAAACCCTAGAGGCCTGTGTGCCGTGCTTTTCCAAAGGAGTCTTTGCTAGCCAAGCCTAGGGGTTACATTCCTCATATTGGGAACAGAACAGACTGAAAACCCTTGGCTTAATGGAGACGAGTTTATTATATTTTATAATTCTAACATTTTAAAAGAAGTTTTCCTATTATATCGCAAATGTAATAAGTTTCACTATAAATCCCCTAGAATGTTATATCACACAGGAAACAGTTATACATGTATCACCCGACAGAAACAATTACAATACCCTCACAATCACTTTTACATTGTTTTTCGTTGCACATTGCAGCTCTTGTTCGTAATTTATTGAAGTTGGTTGCTAAGCAAATTTAATGTAAACGTAATTCTAAATTCCAGAAAGCATGTTTGTATTTGTCTAGTAAAATTTTAGACAATGAATGAAGCGGTTTATAAAAAAGCGTAAACTGCCCCAAATTATGTTATATCGTATAACATAAGTTGAAATAAGCTTCGTTCCTTTTAATTTAATTTCAGTGTTGACAATAAGACAATTTTTCCTCTGGAAAAGGGCTTCACATTTAGCATATTTTGAAAATAATATCAAGCAGAGTAATACGTTTTTGACGAAATCATTGTGACGTAGGCAAGTTATGTTATACAAAATAGATAAAATCTTCTATCCAATCAAATGAGGTGTTACAACTAGAATTAAATTATATACATGTAACATATAGCAGATGGTATCTCAGATAACTTTTATAGAATGTTTGCCTGCTGGTGACAGAAAAGTTAATCCTTAAAAGTGCTAGTCAGCTTCTGTTTTAATTATTCATAAACCTTCAAACTTTGTAGGGGCAAATTCTCTTGTTGATCTTTTGTTGATTGCACTTTACATGAGGTCATAGTTATGGAACCTATGGAAAATTTATTTGACATCCCAAGTGCAAAAGTTTGCGCCTGTTGAATTAACCAGTGGGTGGTTGGGAAAGACAACAGAGGGTTTTAAATGCCAGTGCTGGTACTACTTTGTTTACATTCGGATAAGCGTTGGAAATACACTTAGATCAATCTAATATATTGCAAACAAGTCTGTACAATGTATTACATGAAATCCATTTAACACGGCAGATAAGACTTTGAAATTTTACAAACTTCCTATCTTGAAGATTTAATGTAATTTTCAACAATTAAATATTTACAAAATATAAAATTTGCATATATAAGGAAATGGCTTATAAAGAATGGCAATCGATTATTGATTTTGCTAATCGGAAAAAAGATCATTCTTGTTAATTTAGTCAATAATCAAGATATAATTTTTTGACATTTCTTCATGTACACAAGAAGACTAAAAAGACGTTAGAAGTTACATTCTGTTTATTATCTTGATCGTGATATTTTATGTGCGTAAGAGTATATTTTATTTTAATTTCAATATACAAGATAAAATGAAGAAAACCATGAATCTTGCCTGAGAAGTCAGACACGAATAATTTTCCAACACAGATGTTAAAGAAGTATATTCTGCATTGTCACCATAATCAAAACTATGTCTGAACTCACACTTTATTTACAGTGTTTTTAATTCAACAGATAACAGCAAAATATAGACATACTACTGTAAATCACATTTTACACGCAAGAATGGGTTGTATTTTGCTGAATGTATATATAGATTTGCCAAACAATTGTGAAATGATTTCGATATCCTTGTTTCAACTTATAGTACTTTCCTTACGATTAGAAATTGTTCATAAAACAGCAATTCGTGGAAAATGTCTCGAATAATAAAGAGTGAAAGACTATCTCCTAAATGCAGGTGGTAACTACTTTAATTTAAGCTGATCTGCAATAATTAAAAGAAACACAATTTTATGTTTTTAAAAAAGATTAACAAATTACATGTACAATTTTTAAAAAAAATGAATATTCTTGTGAAAATGGTTTATTTTGCATATATTTTGAATTTTTAACGACTATAAAATAAACAATTTATCAATTAAATTTTCAAAATAAGAAATTTGTAAATTAAAATCATATTAATGTGTGGAAATGCATTACTTCACATTGAATGTTTATCATGAAGCAAACAGTGAAAAGAAAAAAACAGATTCGCCCCCAAGGTTTGCAGTATTATCCAAGAAGGTGGTATAACTCGCAAGCCATTGTAGAGACATCTTGCCCCCATTATATGACCTAAGTTTTTCTTGTGTATTAACTTTAAAGTGAAAAAACGACATATATTATTCAATACAATATATACTGTAAACGTATTACATTTGGCGGTGTATTCTTTATAATTAGTGCTTTTGGCGGAAAGATACTTCCGCTAATTCAAGTACATCGCTAAATGTCTTTAGCATTTAGCATTGATACATGAATAAGAACATCAAATTTACGCTAACTTGTTTAAAAATCATTTTCCGCTAAATATCGTATACGCCAAATATAATACATTTACAGTATTTAATGACACAATGAAATTGTTATCGTATAGTCTATTAGTAGTACTGTAGTTTCCCCAGAATGCTAGACCGTGAAGTTTTCCCAGAATGCCCGACCGTGAAGCCGATCGAGCATGCGTTTTCCAGAAATATGCACTAACGTAGTTGCTAGCGCTATGAACCCCTATATGCAGATGGTAACTACTTTACGTAAAAATGAATTTCTGGTGAACTTTCTGTTTACCTTTACTTTAGTTATTATATAAACGTACATGTACCGTACTTTATAATTAACTTTTTCAAATCATCGCGTATATCGCCAGCTAATATTCATTTGATATACAGGTACAGTGAAAACTGTCTAATCCCACAGTGTATTCCGTCACACTGTAAATTCCAACGTTAAATTTTGTTCCTATTTTACTGTTTTCCATGTTTTTGTAACTGTTTAATCCGACATCCTGTCTATTCTGACATAAAATTGAAAATTTGATTTTCAAGTTGTAATTTTATGAATGAAAGATTTACTTACCACCTAGAAAATATACATAAGGATTTATCTCCCTTTACCACAGTCAACTCGCATTTAAATAAGCGCTTTACTGACTCAGATTAGTCCTTAACACGCTTACTTCCTCTTCCTCTAATCAGTCATATCTGCGACAAACGTCACAATAACTGCGGGGAGGAAGGGAGGGTAGTACTAGGTGGTAAGTAAAACCTTCATTCATAATATTACAAATTGAAAATCAATTTCATTTCATTCGGTTTTACTTACCACCTAGAAAATATACATAAGGATGATTTCAAAGCCATACCTAAAAATAGGCTGGTGGGAATCTTTTAATCTTTATAAATGTTCTCTTCACTTCCTAAACTATAGACATGAAACTTCATTCTCATAACAACTATGTACAAACATTAATATATATATATACAAAAAACACTCAAACATTGTCAAATTTACATATATTGCAACTCGCAGAAAAAAAAACTTTACTGTTTTAATACTGCGACGTCTACATCTTTCAAATAATATTTTGTGAATGTAGACTCTGATTTCCAATCTGCAGAGTTTAAAATAGAAGACATGCTTGCTCCATTAAAAAGTGCCCACGAGGGGCCAACAGAACGTGTTGAGTGACCTTTCACCTCAATATTTTCTTCATAAGCCATTTGATGGTATTGACTAGCCATCTTGATATTGTCTGTGTTGAAACAGGTTTATGAGGACTATTTTATGATAGAAACAACTTGGTTTCATCTTTATCCTTCAAAACTTGTCTAAAGTTTTCTGTTCTTTTCAAATAAAAGGCTAATGCTCTTTTAAGATCTAACTTTTTATTTTCTGAAAAAGTTGGTACAAAAACCTTGGCACCAAAATGATTTGTTCGATCTTGTTTTGACAGTCCTTGTCTCACAAACGTCACACCTCTGTTTGTTACTGTCACAGCTCCCTCGCCTAACTTCAGGGCTAGGATGTCTGAGCACCTTCGCAATGTCGTAATGGCTACAAAAAAACCGTTTTGTAAGTCACATGTTTTAAAGAAGCCAATTTTAATGGTTCAAAAGGTTCTTTTTGAAGCATAGCAAGTACTTTGTGTAAGTCCCAGTAAGGTACTACACTAACTCTTGGAGGTCTAGAATTGAAAACGCCTTTAAGAAGACGAATAATGTATGGATGCTGTCCAACAGGAACATTGTCAATAGGTGTCAAAACAGAAGATAGCATAGACCTGTAACCAGCAATAGTTCTATATTGTAGACCCTCTTTACACAATTCTGTCAAAAATTCTGCACAATCTACTAAAGATACTGAATAGAGATCTTTATTCTGTTTATCACACCAACTATTGAACTTTCTGAATTTACAATTGTAGTCAATTTGAGTTCCTTTTCTCCATGATGCTGATAAAAGCTTTCTCGTTTCTTTTGAAAAGCCTTTCTTTTTTGAAATTTCTGCTGATAGAAGCCATGCCGTCAGATTGAAAATCTTTGGATCTGGGTGATAAATGTTTGACCTTGGTTGAACAAAGAGATCTTCCCTTACTGGAAGGCTTATTGGTATGTCTATCAGCATTTGTAACAGATCTGTGTACCAATGCCTCCTTGGCCACTGTGGCGCAATGAGAATTACTTGACACTGAAAATGTTTC